TATTACTGAAATTTTATTTATTTAATTTATTTAACTCATATTCGCGAATCCAGTGTTCATTTTAATTAATGTATCTTTGCTTAAAGTTAATGTAATTAAACTTTTTTGTAATTTTAAAGATCAAAATCCTAATAATAATTAATTCCTATTAGATTGACGAGAATAAATCAATTAAGAGAAATAAATCTATTTTCGGTTAAAATGAATCTTAGTTCTTAAATATTTTAGAGTAAATTTATATACTTATCCAATTCATCAAATTCGTCGAAATCTTTTTCGGTCTTAAAACGCAATCATAAACAGAACTAGAGTAGTAATATCACACATTAAATTAATAAGTAATTTAATAATTTTTGATGTTGTAATCATCTTAGAACGATATTAATAATTTGATGTTGATTCAAGTATTTTAAGAACTGTAAATCATTTAATTTATTGCGAAAAATATTGTCGGGATAAGATCATGTAATTTAAAATTTTAAATTATGCGTCATTGTAAAAAACTATATGTTGTAAACAATTTTTCACAACACAATTGAAGAAAATGTCTGGATCTACTGCACCTGCAAACATCGATTAGGATTAAACGTTATGTTGCTATTACATGTAAAAACAGATCCGTACATTAGCAGAATTTTTAAAAATAGATATTCGTTGCTTTCGAATGATTTGTGCGTCCGTCGGCTTTGGAATTTGGTGAAATTACTCGTAATTCGAGCCAGAAGTCGTTCTCGGCGTTATAATTGAAACTTTAACATTATACGGCCTCCCCGGCTATTTCCGCGTCTCTTCTGTCTTTGATATGGGCGCGCACGACCACATACCTCGTATAACAGTTTAACCAGTATTCGAATTCCTACGGAATTAGTGCGAGTTCGCCTGTGAAATTTCTCGTTCGCGTTATCCGCGGATGCACAGTTTGCCCTGGGAGAAATGGGGCGAGGAGCGGGGGATTGAGGTTTCGGTGCGAGACCACCGCTTATGGTCGCGACGAGGGGATGGTAGCGAAGGGGTGAACGGGGGTCGCGAAGAATGGCGTCGTGAATTACTTTTCCAAATGCTCCCGATCCGATTCGAGGCTCTCCTTTCTACCGCGCCGCTTCAGGGTAGAAGCATCCAGGGGTAGGTGGCTCTTCCAATTTCCAGGCGTGCCAACCAGATTGAATTTCTATCGTCTTCGACAACGACAACGACAACGACAACGACGACGACGACGACGACGACGACGACGACGACGACGACAACGACGACGACGATGACGACAACGACGACGGTTGGCGGCCGATCATTTCGCAAGATATCGGGTAACTGGGTTATGTTTGCGAAAATGGCTTCGAGCCTCTCGATTTTTCTCGGTAATGCTACCTCTCCATTCCTGGCAACGTTCTCTTTCTTTCACTTGTGTCTTCGCGCGTCTACATGTTTTTCCGTCTTCCTCGCTCTTCGTTTCAGTTTCTATCTCCTCGTTACCAACTCTCTGTTCTGCCCTCGCGAAACCATTGTTCGATGAGACGAATCGAATGAATGAGACATCGAAAAATCTCACGTTGATCGACTGAACGACCACGAATTGCGTCTCGTTGACGTCTATTACATCAGATAGAGAAAATCGATTACAAAAAAAGCAGATATCTCTTTGGTATTTATTATTATTTTGCAATGCAATTTATTTCATAAGGAAAAGATCTTGAATTAAAACATTAAATTTTTTAAATATGTCAAATACAAGCATAAAATCGATTCAGAATAATCGAATCAAACAGACTACAGAAATTTAATTAAACGTTAATATTGCAAAGGAATAAAGTTGTGAGAAATAAATGATAAGACCTATGATAATTTATATTTAATATTACAAGGAGATTAATTTTTGATCAGTAACTAAACCTTTTCCATTTTGTTTAGTCTCGCGTCTATGAAATAGGAATATCATCGGTTATTCCAATTTTTCAATATGTATATGTATCCAAACCATAGTCATAGCTCGCAACTTCGTATTCTCACGACGGAGGACGTGTACTGCGAAATCCGTTGCAAATAGCTCCTACGGGTGCAGTAGTGAAGTTTGAGAGGCACTTCCTTCATCTCCGCCTGCTTTTCCCTTATATCGGAAGACGAGATCAGAAGAAGAGGTATTACCAAAGCGAAAGAACGGCGGGAAGACTTTCTCTCGTCTCACGTCTCTCGTCGTCATCGTCGTCGTCGTCGTCGTCGTCGTCGACGATGTCGAGACACCTCTCTTGTCCGGGAGCGTGCGAGCGACCGGTGTGAACTTCGCCGTAGGGGATTATGCAAACGGGAGTGGTTTCTGAGTACGGGAAGAGAGATAGATAGAGAAAACCCCGCGCCGCGCGCCGCGTTGCGTAGGGGTGGATGATGACGGTGACGGTGCTTGGTGGTGGTGATGGCGGCGAGCGGGTTCCCTTGCTTGTCATTACCACGTTTGTGGCTTCCACCGCCCGGGGTGTCGGTCGCTCTCTGTTTCGAGGAAGACTGGCGCTAGAGAATAATTGTAAAAACTCGTTCTCTCGGTTTTACAGAATATACTTTTTTTATAACACGTCAATGACGCTTTTAAAACTAATTACAAGCGCGCGCCAAAAACCACACGTTAATCTAATAATACTAATCGAGATCGTTGTCTCGCGAAAATGCCCGATGTAAAATAGAAGAATCAAAATTTTATAGAGCTAGAAAGGATACGGGCGGTAGGAGTCAAGCGCAGAAAACGTCGCGCAAATAATATACTTATGAAGTGTGAAACTTCTTTATTCACTAAAACTGCGCTTACATGTTTCGACTCACTTTTGAGCCTTCCTCTCAGAGACAACATTAAACTAACATATTTAAAAACTGTGAATAAAAGTTATCCTGTCATAGTGAGTTCTCCTACATCGAGAATTTAAATGTCGGAATTAAAAAGAGTGAAAGAAAAAGGAAAAAGAAAAAAGAAAAGAAAGTAGGGAATATCGTAAAATAGAATATGGAGAACTATTATAATTTATTAAACAACTTTAAGATTATAATTAATTATTCAGCAAATATTGTATAAGGACGCTCACCATGCTCACATATCAGCAAACATTACTATAATCGCAAACATAACTATAAAAATAATTCAAGAACCGGTTCCTGATAATGTTGGCCAGTCAGTATCACAGTGAGTCACTTTTTGTTTTTAGCTAGTAATTTTCCGAGGTAACAAATGGAAAAATGTAACATTAAAGCGTTAAAATCAATTCCAAGAACAAGAATGTTGCAAAGTAATCGATAAACACGCCAAAAAGACTCATTACTGCGTACGAACGACATTGACTGACTAGACGAGACAACAACTCAAGCCTTGTCTATGATCAGGGAGGTAGGCCTTGGGAAGCCCCTCCGTTGAGTCTATCCTGATGAATACGTATCATCTCTGAAATCAATCTCTTCCTGTAGTGAGATTGATTTCGTCCAGTTAAAATTTTATAACTTGCATGAATAAGTTTCCGCGAACTGCAGTGTAAGGCCATTTTGAGAGTGTCTAGAAAATTACCACGTGGTTGTTGAATTGCTAATTTAAAATAGAGTATTTTATGTTTACGTTGTTATATGTAATCAAATTCTAGACATAATGTAAAAAGTTATTTGCATTAATACTACATCGATAATATTACATAAATCAGAATTTCTTATATTTAATTTATTTTAATATTTTTGTTGAATGTGCGGTATATTTATTAATTTTTTTTTTCTGTAAATGTATTTTACGTTTAGAAAGAACTTCAATTATGATTTGAAATAGGTTTCTAGTTGGCAAAACAATGACAACATAGCGTGATGAAATTCAAAACTAAGTAGTCATGTTTAGCACTGAATATGCATTGAGAATGCGAAGAGAGAGAGAGAGAGAGAGAGAGAGAGAGAGAGACAAGAGACGTTGTTTCATTTAGCATTACAACAACTGGCAGAATCAGCTGATCCCTTCACCACGTTTAAGTAGCAGGATGGTATTTCCAGATTCTAGTATTAACAATAAATACTCCTGCGGATTTCCATGAGCTTAATATTCATGATGTTGTTTATCTCATAATACTGTAAGTAATGCAAGTATACAATGATGCGCACAATAATGTAATATTACATATAATATAAATTTAGTTTATATTCAATAAGTTTATATTTAATTTATGTTATTATGATATTTTTGATGATTATAAAAAAATTCATTTCATGCACTTTAAATATAAGAAAGATATTAGTTTTAAAGATTTATTGGTATTAAAGATTTGTCAGTCTTAAAGAAACAAAAAGGCGCGTCTAAGTGAACCGATCTGCCGCGTCAGAATTTATGCATCTGTCGCACCGGAAATTCTGTGATTTCGTGAGCGGTCAGGACAGTTTCAACCTTTTTAGCAAAGGGCAGAACGTAAGGTGCTCTTATGTTCAACTTAGTGGGTTTGTTCATGCCCCTCGGGATCGTCCGCCAAGTGAAAAAAGGCGGCGGTAGTGGCGGCAGAAGCCGAGGTTTTGGTTAGTCGGTTCGGAGTTCTCGAGCACCTACTCTTTATTACTATGTAATTAATTGTAATGGGGATTTCAACTGGGAAAATAGTCCTCCGAGAGCTTCCCCTTTTGTTCGCTTATTCTTGTTTCTTCTCTTTTGCACATTTTCCCACTGCGTTTGCGTGTAATACCTATTTTCATATTGTTTCTTCTGTTTGCCGTATTTTCATATTTGTTTCTTCCCTTTGCCTCACCCTTTCTCCTACAAAACTTGCAGGCGAACAAGATTTGTCTCCGAGTTTGAATTCGCATGTGGCGCATAATGTTCTTTTCGTGGTTATATCCTCAGTGGAACTCAGAGCTTTCGAGGCAGTTTGAGATTTATCATCGAGAAACTTAAACAAGTTAATATATATATATATATTTTTATATACGTTACTTCATGACATTTTTCTATATTAATTATGTTATAGTAGTTTATATAATATAATATTTTCGACATTTTTTTGTTTTAGATCGACCCAAAGGTAGCATTTCCTAGGAGAACACATCCAAAGGTAAGAAAATTTGTTTGTTTTTATTGATATTATTTTATTGCATTATACGTCATTATTATAATTTGAATTTCTCTTTCTACATGTATCATATATGTTATGTATTATTTAATTCTTATGTAGAGGAGCAAAAATATGGCAAATTGATATGTGGACTGTTCAGAGAACATTTAAAAAAAATTTAGTTTCATATTTTTTACTTTGATATAGTATATTATGTTACAGTTAAATTTAATTATGCCTTTGAGTATCTGGACAATACTTGTCATTTCCTTTTCTAATATAAGTTTTTAAGAAAATTATGGTTGTGGTTACTCCTATCCACTTAGGTCCGTTTCGGAAAATGAATTTCATTGATGAATCTCTTGATATAATATTTAGGTAACCATATATTATGAAAATGGGCCTCAAAGATTAATAATTAGTTGTACAACGCAAGACGATGAATATAACGAATAACAATTAAATAAAAGTAACTTTTTTTTATATTTAAAATAATATCATTGATAGAAACATATTATTATAACAAAGTAAAGTCACAAACGAAGCTCTGAAAATCACCATTACGGACATTACCGGAAACGATTCTAACATGAAGAATTGAAATGGTTCATCCATTTGCGAGCGAGTTGACGGTGACGTTTATAATACCAATCCTTTCGGCCTACGGCGTGGCAGGATGAAATAGCGGGTTAACGAGAATTACTCGTAGCTGTGCTCGCACGTTCATTTGGAATGCGATGTTTTTGCCACGCATAGAAAAAGCACGGATGTGGAAACGCTTCGGCAGAGTCGACGTAGAGCGCAAGCGGGAGGGACAGCTTAAAAAGTCAAATGACGACGCGTTCAGAGGGGGTGATTGAAGAGGGAATAATAAAGCCGACTGACCCTAGCAATAAGAGTAATTAAACGTAATTCGCTTCGAAACCTGGGATTACTTCCTTGCCGGCTACGATAATCGTGGCAATGGCTTCGCCGAGAAAACGCGCGAAAAGCATATGACGGTAGGTGGAAAACGTGAAATAGCTGATAGGACAAGCAGGATAGAATAGTTGTACGAGTGCACGCATACAAAAGTGATAAGGGTGGAGTGACGAGAGAAATTTGCGCGACTTAATAATATAAATGCCAGGCATGCGAATTACCGGCGAGCGACTGAATTGCGCTAATTTTAATTGTACCCTTTCTCTTCTCCCGGTGACACGTTCTCTCTCCTTCTCCTCCTCTCCAACTCTCATTCTGTTGCTATTCTTCGTATTCTGTATCTATCCTACTGCTATTCTCGCAACTTTTGTCTACCATTGCATTTTATATGTTTTTATAACACGTACGCGCCACTTCCCGGCCAGCTTCTTCACTCACAAATCCCTCTTGGCTGACCCTTTCAGCGTTTTATTTGGGTGGCAGAACCCGAAGGGACATAATTTACGACGTGCGTGTGGCTGAAATTACGACCCGCGAATGCCGTCGGTAATCACGCGTCTCGACAATCTGAGAATAAGGTGCCTGGCAATCTCGGGCTGAGAAACATTTGCCAGAAATCGGGGAAAACAAATTTTGAATTGTGAGAAATAGAACGTTTTGGTGCAGACTTGAAATCAGGACAAACGTCACTTTTATGTTGCGTATGACAACCTTGCTTGGAAGTTCCAACTAAATCTCATCTATCACAAACGCAGAATGTTTCAGTGCCAAAATTTGGAATCCCAACTTCGGAACTTTGGCTGTGAGAAATAAAATATTCTCACAAATAATATAAAGCAGAGATAACTCGACTCGGCCTCAAGACAATTTAATATCGGAGATAGTAACCTACATATATATTTTTTATTCTCTATATGATGATTATTTTTCGTTCTCTGATGGGGTTCTAAATTTATTTCTTTCACTATGATATAAAATTAATCTGATTTGTATCTTTTTACCTTATGACTTAAAATTTAAAATTTATATCATAAGATAAACGATCGTTACGAAATCAATTATTGGTATTCTAAAGATGATTTAAATATGAAAAACGATTATTATGATGTAGATCTGCCGAACAATCCTTAATATAGTATCGTTTAAGATGACCTGATAAATATTATACTAAAAATTTATGCTCATAAATAGAGTAATGAATTTGATTTATTAGAGATAGAGAAAACTTGAATTTAAAATCTGGGTCACGAATAATAATAAGACTATTTTAGTACAGATCGGATAATTCGAACTTTCGCGACGTGATTCAATTGATGACTTCATAATCGAAGTTTCTGGAACTAATATTTTCAAATTTCCAAACTTTCTGAATGTAATATACGACATTTATTCTGCAGGTTACACAAGCTAATGTGAGAATGCATATGATGCTCGAAATACAATAATATAACTGGCATTGTACGTTACATGTAATGTTTGTAACGAGTGCAACATACGTATATAGTTTCAACGTTTTGGGAGCTGGATATGAAACGAGAGATGTAATTTTCATAAAATAACGCCAGCTTTTCCCCAGGCGTCACTTTTATTTTACATCTTCGCGTTGCAAAGATTTGAATAAATTGTGCCAATGCACGCCTCGAGATCGGAAACTATGCCAGGAAATTATTTTCCACTCGCACGTGTTTGGCGCGATTCCGTGATATACGGCAACTTACCGTAAATATATTACCGAAGAGATATGCTCTATTTTATATTCGTGCACCTTTTATATAGGATATACCTATTAATGTCGCGTACACGCATTAATATCTACTTGCAAACGTGTAATTTCAGAAAATCGTAAAATAAATTTCATATTTATTGTTCCTTGAGTAGGGATCTGAATGTGGATCTCAACAATTTGTGTAAAATCTCAACAACGCGTATAGCCTGGAAACAAGTCTGCTCGATTCTAAACACTCGACGGTAGCACGTTCAACTAACGAATGCTCTTCTTGTTATAAGAATGAGGTTAATAGTCCGCGATTTTGCTCGGCTACACACGACGCGATTCCGCCTCGCCTGGAAGTCAAGTTAATATCACTCGCGAGGGCACACAATAGGACACTTAATACCGCCGGTTCGTCAACACCCGAAACGCACATTACTACGTTAGACCCGCTGAACTTTAGGAGAACGGTACCCGTCGCAAAGTTCATTGAAATGTCACCGAGTGCTCCCGCGCTCGTCGTAACAACCTCCTTGAGACCGCATGCCGGAAGCGCTTTGTTACCGCACTTCCGGTCTGACGGAAATGGCGCAATGCGCTTCCGACACGGCGGAAAAGTAGCGACAGTCATTACCGAGCCCCTTTACCCCCTTCTACTCTCTTTACGCCGCTCCTTTGCTTCAGTCCTTTGCTGCGCTCCTTTACGGTGAACGCACGAAAAAAGACTCCGGCTCCAAGGATTTTACCGCTTTTTGGGAAAATGCGAGGCGTACTTCAGATAATTGTCTGGAAGTTTCGTAGCCAAGGAATTGAAGGCACAGACCTGCTCGCGGCAACTAGAGATTCATTTTTAATCAAGGATACATGATATAATTTTTCTCTTTTTTTTTTGCAGGAAATTAACATTCAAAAATAAATGTCGCTTATCTGAAAGAGAATATCACAGTGTCAAATGCTAAATAAACAAAATATTTCATTTAGAAATTTGATATAAAGGAGTTGAAAATTTTTATTAAAAAAATTTCTTGTAGATAAATTAATATTTTGATTGCTAAATCTATTTTAAAAGTATAATACTTTTTTAAAGATAAAACAAGATTGAGGGAATAACAAAATTCAATGTTAGAAATTAAACATTGAATTAAAATCCTCAAAACGGATTAATTTTGTGGCAACATAAATATAGCTTTTAAAAATACGACGTATATCTGTTTGGTGCAATCTACTTGATCTATCTCATTGATCCTACGAACGCAAACGTCATGAGTGTGCTCAGTGTGTTTAAATGTGAGAGTTGAACTGTTACATAATTCACTGTTACATAAGCAAGGAAGGTTCTCGTTCGGTGATAGTACAACGCGATAACCCGTCGTAACCACGATCTGGAAAACTATAGCAAGCCCGAGGATAAGGGACGGATAACTAGTGTAACGCATAAACCGCGCTAGCCATCGATGGCGCGGCGTCGTCCCCTTAGTCGAAACGGGCGACTGTTCGGGACAGTAATGGCTTCGCCAACCCCCGGTATAATACCCACTTGTTACTGAGTAGTAATACATATACGCAAGACACACAGACGTTGTATATATGTATACATACGCGGAGGATATTACTTCAATCGCTGTGAGCTCGAGAGGCATCGCGAGAGAAAGAAGAAATAGAGATGCAAAGAAGAGGGAGGAAAAGATGGAGAAAACGGAAAGGAAGAAAAGAGATACCTACAAGACGGAGATGAGTAAGAGACGGTAAAGAAAGAGACGGGAGAGAGAAAGAGGAAGGAAGATAGAATGCGGAAAGAAGAGAAAATCTAGGAAAGGAGGGTGGAAAAGCCGGGATAGTTGCACCATGTCTCGCGTAACGAGCTGTCGGCTCCCCAGGGTGTTCAGTTTTCCCTTCGCTCGTTCCTCTTTCTCTCTCTCTCTTTTCTCTTCCTTTCCCTCCTTCCGTCTTCCCTTCCCTTTGTCCACCATAGCAATATCTCTACCTACGTACCCTTACAGCCATACCGCGTACTCCTCCTTTCGCAAACTCGTTTTGTTTTGTCCGTTGAGTGAGAGATATCCACTCACTCGAATCGAACGGGGCGCCAAGTATATCGTTGATACGCAGCAACCCCCGATCGCGCGGCAACGTCGTCGTACTTTAATGTTATCTTATATGATTTGTTTGACTTTGCCTCGCGAAACCCTCCGGCTTGTTGTCCCCCGTGACGCCTTCGTTCTTCTTCTCCAGCGAGCACGCGCGTGCAATCCGAATCGTGAAACTTACACGTTGCGGAAATAACTTTTTCGAAACATCGCGAAAACGATATCCTTTTTGCCCAAACTATCGAAAACTGCTCGGCTGCGTTTACGATTTATATACAGCA